AGATTAATAAGGTCTCTATCAACCTCCCATGCAAAAGACAAGATGTCTGGAATAATGATAGACTGAAGGAGTTCTGGAGATACAACATGTTGGCAAACAAGGAAAGTAGACTGTTTGAACCATACTTTTTAAATAAAGTCATGTGACGAGTATATATGACCGATTAATGGAATATTTTTACGGTTGTTTCGAAATCAAGAATTAAAACATAGCAAACCTCTAACTCTAATTTAAAAAGACCGTATGGTATGCAACAATAGAGATATTTTAAGTGACTATCTATTACATGAGTAATTTTGAGTCGTAATTGGAAGCCATGGCAATATTTTGAAAATAGATTTCTAGGTTTTTGTTGTTCTTATTTTGAGAATAGTTGTTGCTAAATTTAAAAAAATAATAATAATAAGTTGCTTATAATGGTTTTGATGGAAGTTTTGGATTTTGGAATAAAAGAAAATAGACTTATTTACATATATAGAAGATTAAAACCTAATTAATTTGTTTTTGCACCACCTTCCTCTTTTCGTATTTACATTGCTAATTGAACTCTAATTAGGAGTATAACTCTACTAGGGTTTAGGAATTTGCTATATATATACGGCAATTAGTTAATTATTTTTGTTTCTTAAATTAAATATTTATTTCATTTTCGTATGCAGAGCATTGTTTCTATACATTTAAGTAATTGCAATAAATTTAATTAATAGAGAGATATTATAATGTCAATGTCTCTGAGAAATAAGTAGGAATTAAATATACATTTATATTGCTAAAAGTTTGAATTGCTAATTTTAAACCAAAGCAAAGGAATACATACATATATACATATACAATACATAGGGAACTTAGGTTAATAGAAATGGTTGTTTATTAATATAGAGAATTCCCATTCAGTCATTCAATGAAAATTACAATAAAAAATACAGTAATATATTTAAACTGGTAAAAAAATTAAAAAGTTCATAAAATTATTTTTTAAAAAAATCAATTTTCATCAATCAATCATCATTACTGTTACCTGTTTATAAATCTAATAATAAGAATATTATTGTTTAAACTTTTAATTACTTTTATTCATTGAATACTGAAATATCTATTTTATTTTAATATGCTAAACATATTTTTATTTGTTTTAAAAAAATTATATTATCATTTATAGGCAGGTATTAGGTTATAATATCTGTGTAGATTGTACACATATATTCATAATTAAACCAATATTCAATTATATACTAACGTACCTATTTACTATGTAAACATATATTTATTGAAATTATGCCAATTCTTCAAGCTAAAGTTCGGAACCACTTAATCTAAAAGTGAATATCAACTTATTGATTATTTAATTACTTTGTGTTGCAGGCTATATGCGTTATTGGACTAGAATTTGGGCTCAAATGAATAAACGTAAGCCATGTTGGTAGGCCATATGTGTTACAAGCCTATTTAGCTTTATTTGTTTCTTTTATTAAATATGTTTTCACCATTATACTGGACGAGGGGATTATTCCTTTATGCTAAAATCACATTTACTAATTTATTCTTTTATTAAATATACATGTAAAACCACATTTACTAATTTATTAGTGCCGTGACCACGTTAGTTTATTAGTCTTCGTGGAAAATTAATTGGAAAGGAGCTGAATAAATACCTGACTAATGTAATTAACGAAATATTCTTTTGAACTATCCAAATCATGGCTTCTTTCTTAATATCATTCCAAGTCTTGTTGTTTCTCATGCTTGTGTCGGTTCAGTCATCCCATGTTTATCAAAATGAAATAAAAAAATATTAAATTTTAATTAATTAAACCTTATTTTACATAAAAATTTAAGGAATTTCACCATGTTTTACGCTCAAACTAAAATTTCAATATTTTAATATAGTAGGTTCATTGTTAGTGTTAATTTACATAATTCCTTTATTTAGGATTATTACACAATTTTAATATATAATTACAAGAAAACAAAACGTTTGAACATGAACATTTAGCTAATAATAAGTGCGTATAAGTTTTTGTCAAAAAGCTACATTAAAATCACTGACCTCCCTTCAGTTCAAAAAAATAAAATAAAATAAACATAAAATGTTTGATATTAATGGAAAAGAAGTTTTTAGCCAAAAGTTTCCAAACCACAATGTTACTATCCAACAATACTGTGAAACTAAAATGTAAAAAAAAAAACTGATCTCTCTTTTTTTTTATGTTAATTTCTGATTAAATTCTTCTTATACTATATTTAAGTGATTTGTTTTTATTAAATCCATTGACCTTGCATATATAAAAAGTAATTTATTTTTAAGGATTTAACTCATTTTAATTTTATTTATTAATGAAATGTCACTATTACTAGTGACAGATCTAGGATTTCAAGTTAGAAGGGGCCAACTAAAATAAAAATTTGTAATTTGAAAATTTTTATTTAGTATATAATATATTAGTATTTTATGAAATTATAAAAAAACATATGTGAAATATTATATTTCGTATATGTAGCTATAAACAACATAGACAAAAAATTCAAATACTGAAACAAAAAAAATTACTATTAAAAATGAAGGAAATTCAAATACTTTTTATTTAAAAATGTACATAACGACATTTCATGAAAAAATCTTTGACTCGAAAGTTTCATCAAATTTTCTTTTAAGGTAGGGAAAAAGATTATCTTCAAGGAACTCTTCTTATATTTTATTGCAAAATTTTGTTTTAACAATTTCTATCATTGAAAAATATTTTTAAGTGATGCAATAAAAAATCAAAGAGGTACAAATTATCAATCAACATATAAACAAGAGAATACACTATTGTGTAAGAATATTAAGAAGATTATAACGTACATGTTGAAAAGAAATCAATTCTAGCTTCACCTGTGGCTACGAAGTAATACTTTATTTTTTCCTATTCTTCTTAATGTTGAAATTAATTGTATTGGTTGGACAATGATTTAAGCATTTTTTTTTTTAGCATTTTGTCTTTTTGTTTTTTGGATTTTTTAATATAGAAAATGGTGGTTTGAGCTTAATTTTTAGTGAGATATACATATTTATTGTTAAATCAAAATTTGGATGCAAATTAGGTTCTTTTATGGAAAAAAATCATGGAAATTATTTTTAAATAAAAAAAATCCAATATATGAGTGAAAGTTTTAAACTCCCCAAATAGGTTTGCAAGATTTTCAGGTATCTTATATTCATAATTAAGTAATAAAAGAACCTAATGAAATAACTTATATCATTATTAGAGAAAAACTATTTTATTTATTGGCAGTAGAATTTTTAAACTCTAATCAAACTAAAAGATCAACACTTGTCTCTAGCTTTTTGGTCCCATGATTAAGAAGGTTTATGAAGACATGTAAGGTAGAATTTGAACCCCACCATCCCCATCTCCCATCTCCAATCCAACGGATAAAAAAATTAACATTTTTTTATTAGAGTATATTTATAAAAATTAACAAATTGATTAATTATTTAAATAGATATATTGAGTTTTTAAAAAACCCACTACTTGTGTTTTTGTATAAAATAATAATTCAAATATTAAATGGATATAAAACAACTTTAAAAATAATTTGTAATATTAAAAATTACCATAGTAATCCTAAAATATGCATAATTTTTTGAGTGCATATCATCTACAATTGCTGTAATATAATTAATTAATTATAATTTACCATTGTGTAGAGTTCATAAAAAAATTATGTAAAGTCCACACTTTTAAGTAGTGGACTCTTACATAATTTTTTGCTGTGATTGACTGCAATAAAAATTGTAGATGAAATTAACCAATTGTTTTGCAATTAATTTTGTTCAAAGTTGATCGTTTCTTCAAATAAACAAAACAGGAATTCTCTTCACCATATTATTTAAAAAAAAAAATGGAGAAAAAGAAATAAAGCAATTATGAAAATTCATTGACATTTAATAGTTTAGTCTCACACAATGATTTTCAAAATGTGGATAGGATAAATATGAAAACATGTTGGACTAAATTCAACTCAAAATTTTAGTTTGAGAAAAAATGTTTTGTATTTTTGTTAATAATAATGTTTTTTATTTTATTGGCTATATATTCTTATTGGAAATTTTGGGTTAAATTTAATTATAGTCAAACCCCAGCTATAATTAAATATTAAAAATGAAAAATATTTTGTGATGAGAAGCCTTGAATTTTTTATATAAGCCTCCATCCTTCTATTATATCTAATTAAGTCCTTAAAAGAAATTTTTTTGTCTAATTAAATCTTTAAAGTATAGTTTTGTTCCATAAAGCTCTTTTTTTTTTTAATGAAAATTGCAAAAGAAATATTATTTCTTGCCAAATCAACATATATGTCTTAGTTATTTCTATGAAGCCAACATCTACATAGCATATATTTGAAAATAAAAAGCTCTTTAGATGCCAATGTGGCCTATCATGTAAATGACAGCTTAACTTAAATTTTTATATTTTGCAATTAGACATTGATTTAGAAATGACAATTATTATTGTTGATGTAGTAAAAATAATGAATTTTAGTGATTTTCATATAAAATAAGATTTAATTAAATAAGAATAATGTTTTATGCTTTCAATTGGATTAAAAAGATAAAAGTTTATATCAAAAATCCGAGAAACGGACAACATTCTTTTAGCATTTTATTAAAGAATAGTACAAGTTAAAGGGATATACTTCAAAATCATCACTCAAATCAGTTTCAAGTGTAGTCAGTACAATTACAATTAAACTTTGAATGATTTAAAAGGCAAGGAATGAAGAAAGGTTAGAAAGATAAAATTGTGAGAAATAATGTGTATGAGTGTATGTAAGAATAAATGGATGAGTAAATAGTAAAATCAAAATGTTATTGTCTGAAGTTGTGTTTATAGTAATTTGGTTTACTCACCAATTATATTCTTTGTTTGTTCAAACACATAAAAAAGTGATATTAGAATTGTTGTAGCATTCCAAAGTGAAAGTACTATAGCAAATCGATACTACAACAAAATATTACAGTCAATTCACTACAAAAGCTTTATTACCAGAGTGCTTAAACATTTTCAATACAAAGAAGAGATCAAGAAATAGATTGAAAGCAAATACACATGCTTAGATTTATTATTCAAATTGTTAGCACCTTAATATTAGCCATTTCAGATTTCATGATCCCACAATTCTCCCAATTTTATGATTGAGAAAGGATTGGGCAATGGAAGTGATTGACGGGTAAGGGCTTGAGCAATTTGTCGCATGGTTGGCCGAAGTTGGGAATTGCCATTCAAGCATGCAAATGCTAGCTTTGTAGTGGAGACAACATCCTTTGCAATTCGTCTTACTGGTGGTGAAAGACGATGGTCAATCACATCTTTAAATAAAATCTGTTGGTTGTCATTTGGTGCCAATGTTGATGTTGATGTCGATGCCGAAAACGATGATGGCAAACATGAAATAAAATCACCAGGATGCCTCCCCATAATTATTTCCATTGTTAGCACCCCAAAACTATAAACATCACATCTCTCATCTACTTTCATTGTATAAGCCAACTCTGTTTAAAAAAATATATTTAATCAATGCACTCTATTAAGCAAGAAATATATCTTATCAATATACTATTATGTAGAATATTGAGAAGATTATAAAATAATGCTGAAAAAAACTACAAATGTTTAGAAGATTAATTGAAAATTGAAATTCAAAGGTTCTAATAAAATTTTACATTTAGTTCATCAGTTTGATATATTGAATATTGAAAATTCAAGTGTTAAACTTCAAAGATTATTTACACATTTGATACTTGAACTATGGTAAAATTCTTAATTTGATACTTAAAATTTGAAAAGTTACATTCATAATACTACTTGAACTTTGTTTTAACACATCAATTTGCACACAAAACAAATACTTATAATTGAATGATGACATGTTTAAAGCATATTAAAAAAAATAAATATTAATAAATACCTGGAGCTATGTATCCAAAAGTGCCAGCAAGTGAGGTCCAATTGGAGGAGTCTGGCTTTAAAAGCCTGGCTGTGCCAAAATCTGAGATATGAGCCTCATAGTTCAAATCCAGAAGAACATTGTTGCTGGAAATGTCTCGATGAATTATAGGTGGTGAATGGTCATGATGCATATAAGACAAGGCATTGGCCACTCCTTTTACAACATTTAGCCTCTTCTCCCACTCCAACTCCATTGCCTCGTCCTTGTTGCTTAACACCATTTTCAAACTTCCCTTTTCTACAAACTCATAAACCAAAAATAAATTCTTTGGATGTGAACAAAAGCCATACAGCTTCACAATGTTACGATGCCTTATTTCTGATAAAGCATGAATCTCGCTTTCAAAGGCTTTCAAGTTGCTAGAAATCATGCTATCTTCAGATTGGTGAAGTTTCTTCACAGCAACCACCTCACCAATGGGTAGCACAGCTTTATAAACAGCTCCATAGCCTCCTGAACCAATGTAATTGTTGAAGCTGAAATCTTCAGCGGCTTCAATAATGTTCTCATAGAGTATTCTTCCATATATCCCCATATTGTGACAATATCTCCAAGTTGTGCCTCCATTAACTCAGATTTTCTGGTTCGTTTCTTTTGGCAAAGAATAAGGAAACTTCCAACCATGATAAAGAGAAAAAGAAGACCAAAGAGTGGAAGCACAATGAAAATGGTGACTTTGGTGCTTTCTCTATGAACGACAACACAAGGCATTAGTCCAGTGGCATTACCGCATAGGCCATTATTGTTTCGTAAGGCATCAAATGAAGCCTCATGGAATGCCTTAATGTTGGGAATAGGGCCTTCTAATTGATTGTATGAGATATTCACAACAGTCAAGCTTTGCAAATCACTGAAAGAAACTGGGATGGAACCATTGAGCATATTCTGAGAAAGATCCAATATTTCCAAGGAGTGTAGTTCCCCAAGCTGTTGTGGTATCGCTCCAATAATAAAATTATGACTCAAATCTAGAATTTGAAGACCATATATGAAGCTTATTGAAAATGGAATGCTTTCTCCAAGTTTATTTTTACTCAAATTCAAATTCCATAAATTTGAGCACTCTCCAAGTTGATAAGGAATCGAACCACTTAAATTGTTTGATGCCAAGTTAAGATGTTGTAAATTTGAAAGAACTCCAATCTCTGGTGGAATTTTGCCTGAAAGTTGGTTACCACTTAGCAGAAGACGGAACATCAATGTCAATGCTGCTAATTCCTTAGGAATCTCACCAACAAGATGATTTGAAGAGAGATCAAGTTCCTGTAATTGAGTTGCATGTTGCAACTCAAGTGGTATCTTTCCAGAAATGTTGTTATTGTAGATTTGTAGGCTTGTTAGATTATGACATTGCCCCCATTTTGGAGAAAGTTCACCATAAAATCTGTTGTTGCTTAATGAAATATGATTCAAATTCGGATACACAGCAAAAGCTTCGGATATATTTCCTGTAAAGTTGTTTCCTTCAAGCCTAACTCTGAATAAACTTTTGCAATTTTTCAAAGTTGCTGGGATATGACCCGTCAAATTGTTGTTGATAACCGAAAGATTTGCGAGTTGTCCTCCCTTGCATAAATTTTTAGGTAATGGACCACTGAGATGGTTATCACCTAATTGTAATGATTGCAAATGAGTAAGATTGTTGAGCGTTGAAGGAATTGGCCCTGATAAATGATTATAATGAAGATGTAACCTTGCAAGCTTCATCATGTTTCCAATTGAAGCAGGGATTGAACCAGAGAACATATTTTGATGAAGATAGAGAGTGGATAAGCTGGTCAAGTTTCCTATGGAAGCAGGGATTGAACCAAAGAAATTATTTTGACTCAAAGAAAAGTCAGAGAGAGATTTAAGCATCCCTATCTCTTGAGGTATCGACCCAGAAAACATATTTTGATAAAGGTAGAGAGTGGATAAACGGGTCAAGTTTACTATGGAAGCAGGGATTGAACCAGAGAAATTATTTTGACTCAACTCAAAGTCAGTGAGAGATTTAAGCATCCCTATCTCTTGAGGTATCGACCCAGAAAACATATTTTGATAAAGGTAGAGAGTGGATAGACTGGTCAAGTTCCCTATGGAAGCAGGGATTGAACCAGAGAAATTATTTTGACTCATCGCAAAGTCAGTGAGAGATTTAAGCATGCCAATCTCTTGAGGTATCGACCCAGAAAACATATTTTGATCAAGGTAGAGAACAGATAGGCTGATCAAGTTTCCTATGGAAGCAGGGATTGAACCAGAGAAATTATTTTGACTCAAATCAAAGTCAGTAAGAGATTTAAGCATGCCTATCTCTTGAGGTATCGACCCAGAAAACATATTTTGATAAAGGTAGAGAGTGGATAGACTGGTCAAGTTTCCTATGGAAGCAGGGATTGAACCAGAGAAATTATTTTGACTCAACGCAAAGTCACTGAGAGATTTAAGCATGCCTATCTCTTGAGGTATCGACCCAGAAAACATATTTTGATGAAGGTAGAGACTGGATAGACTGGTCAAGTTTCCTATGGAAGCAGGGATTGAACCAGAGAAATTATTTTGACTCAACGCAAAATCAGTGAGAGATTTAAGCATGCCCATCTCTTGACGTATCGACCCAGAAAACATATTTTGATAAAGGTGGAGAGTGGATAGACTGGTCAAGTTTCCTATGGAAATTATTTTGACTCAACGCAAAATCAGTGAGAGATTTAAGCATGCCCATCTCTTGAGGCATCGACCCAGAAAACATATTTTGATAAAGGTGGAGAGTGGATAGACTGGTCAAGTTTCCTATGGAAGCAGGGATTGAACCAGAGAAATTATTTTGACTCAACGCAAAGTCACTGAGAGATTTAAGCATGCCCATCTCTTGAGGTATCGACCCAGAAAACAAATTTTGATAAAGGTAGAGAGTGGATAAACTGGTCAAGTTTCCTATGGAAGCAGGGATTGAACCAGAGAAATTATTTTGACTCAACTCAAAATCTGTGAGAGATTTAAGCATGCCTATCTCTTGAGGTATCGACCCAGAAAACATATTTTGATAAAGGTAGAGAGTGGATAGACTGGTCAAGTTTCCTATGGAAGCAGGGATTGAACCAGAGAAATTATTTTGACTCAACTCAAAATCAGTGAGAGATTTAAGCATGCCCATCTCTTGAGGTATCGACCCAGAAAACATATTTTGATAAAGGTAGAGAGTGGATAGACTGGTCAAGTTTCCTATGGAAGCAGGGATAGAACCACGTAGATAGTTATCAAAGAAATAGATCTCGGAAACTGAACTCAGCCTCCCTATCTTTTGTGGAATGGAACCACTGATCTCATTACTTGCTATGGAAATCAACTCAAGACCTTTCAATAAGCAAATTTCGGATGGAATATTCCCCGAAAAGTTATTGTATGACAAGTCAAGGAAGGTGAGCTTGGAAAGGTTCCCAATGTGTGAGGGAATGGGCCCATACATTGAGTTGTTACGAAGGTTAAGCCTCATCAGGTTAGGGAAGAAAAGAAAGTTAAGACTATGAAGTGTACCTTTCAACCCATAGTCTGGAAGGCTTATATTGGTGATGCTTTCAGCCTTGTCGCAGGTAATTCCAACCCAACTGCAATGGCTGTCTCCAACCCACAAAGAAGAGAGCAAAGTTTGGGTGTTGTTGTCAAGGCTAGCTTTCCATTTTAGAAGAGCTTCCGCTTCTTTACCTCTTGTAAGTGCAGCAATGGAGGATGAAGAAGCAAAAACAGAGGAAGAGTGAAGCAGGACGAGTATGAGGAAGAACATGACTTTGAATGGTATTAAGAAAGATGACATGATTTGGATAGTTCAAGAAGGATCTTTTGTTAATTGTTCTAAATTACATTGGCTAGCATGGTCAGGTATTTATGCAAAATACAAGAACATTACAGTCACTATGAAACGTCAATATCAAGTGGAAAATTGCAACTTCAATACGACTGATTTTTTACGATTAAATTAATTTTGTTAGATGATGATTATTTGATTTTTTACATTTAAAGAACGATTCTAGCTTTAATGTGCACTTATTATTAATCACATGTTAAAAAAAAATCATGATAATTATTTTAAATGAAAATTATATCCTATACATCAATCAAAATTTTAAATTCTCTAAATGAGCTTATAAGATTACTACATACCATTAATCATAAATACAAAAAATTATGTAAAGAAATTAATGAATTAAATATTTTATATAAATTTTGTTATTTTTTAAAAAAAATTAAAAAATTAACATGTATATTTTAAGAATATGTCTATAAAAATTAATGAATTGAATATATATTATACAAATATATGCATATAAATCATTTAATTTATTTGTAAAATTTAAAAATTTTATCATCAATTTGCATTAAATAATAATTATATTATTAAATGAAAATGCGACAATTGTGTAGACTATAAATTAACAGTAAAGTCAATATATAAAATAATAATTTTAAAATGTATAAAGTTTTATTCATTTAATTTGGTTCAGACCAATCTTTTACTTAATATAGTCTTATCCAATTCTTTTGGCCTCTCATTTCTAATGTGTTTATTGTGCAAAATAAATTATAGAATGAAGGATTTGCAAGAGTCGACAACATTATAATATAATTAGAGGTGTTGAACGAGTTAGACAGTTCATTACATGATATGCTTCAATATGATATTGTTTATGCTTGGCACAATTCATTATAAAGTAGTTAGATTGAGCTAAGTACGATTCATATATGTGTCTTGTGCTAGGCTAAAAGATTTCACGTCTATAGTTCGATATGATATAGTCCATTAAAGGCCATTACTAGTACATCGCACGTAGGTTAATATAACACAATATACAAGTCCAATCGTGTCATGTTTACCCATAATTGTTTTAAATGGGCTCATAGGTTTTGAGTGTATTTATATTAATATTTTATATTGCAATGAAATTATAACTATTAATATTTTGTTGGTAATTTATAAAATAAAATTATATTAAATAAATTTATTTATTAAATATTTAAATTATTAATAAGTAAATTATATTTAACTAATGATTAGAAAAATGAAATGATAAAATAGATTAAGACTTCAAGTTAAAACAAATTTAATTAACAAAATAAATTATTATAGGATGAAAAGTATAAAATAAATGCACAAGACAAAACACACTATCTAAGTGAATCATCATAAGATGAGAATAAAAATAATAATAATAATTTTGTGTTTTATAATATCTTTTATATGTATTTGTGTGTGTGTGTTTTTTTTTTAAATATTAAGATTGTAGTTTTAATATTTTTATTTAGTGGATTCTATTATCCTTCTCTATGAATGTAAACATTTTATCAAATCACATCAATTATATGTCCTTTTTTATTTCATTTTACTTTTATTTATCTCACGCAAATTATTTTTAATAATAACTAATGAATTTTTTTATATTATTAAAATTTTGGAAAATATTAATAGAATGTACTTGATCGATCTCTGTATGAAAAATAGAGCCATGTCTGACACGATACGACCAATGAAGATTATGAGTCATGCGTCTTGCTGGATTATATCTTTAGCCTTCATAAGCCATTCCATGAAAAATAATTTTGTCGATAAACAATTAAAAACTAATAAAAATAGTAATATATCAAATGATTTTTTTCTTTAATTTTTTATTAATGTTGTTGTTATCTATTTTTAGTTAAAATAATAATATAATATACTACTAAATTGTATTTTAGTTTATAATATAATATTTAGATTTTAATTTTTATATAATCACAAAATTTATAAAATAATACTTTTTAGTTCATAACATAATAATAATAATTCTATTTATTTATAAGTTTATTATATAATAAAAATTTTCATTATGTTAAACTAAAAATTATTTCAAAATTTATTAATTAAATTTTTTTTTTTACAAAAGCAAAAATGTAAAATGTGTCAAAAGTATGCCACACCCCTTTCCCCTCAATGAGTTTAAGCCCCACTGAAGCCACTAAAACATAATCCCTAACCAAACAGCAAAGGACACTGTAATTGCTTTAAAAAGATGCTTAAACACATTAAATAATGACATCAATTCATTCGAAATGAGAGTTTAAATGAAATTTTATAAGTAAAAATTGTGAAATTTTTTATTAAAAATATTAAATTAAAATTAAAATTAATAAATTAATAAATTTTTATTGTATAAATTAATTTGAGCTTTTAAAATAAAATAAAATAAAAATGCAAATAAACAAATTTTTAGAAGGTATTTGATTTAAAAATAATTGACCTTAAATCAAGAGTTTTTTCGCAATAAAATAAATTATTGTGTCATGTGGTATCAATAATAACAACAATAGCAATTAGATAGAAAAAGATATGGTATGAACTCTATGACGTATAATTTTATAATAATATTGGTTAGAATTTTATAAATTATAACAATATTATGATTTGTAATTAATTTTATGACATGCAAAATTATTACTAGTTTCAACAAAGGTAGAAAAGTACATAAGTAGTTGTTGCCAATGGAATGCCAAAACAAAGTGCAACCTTACTATTATAGATTTATTGAGTATTGAGCTAGCAAAGCACTATGTAATTAATCCTAATACTATCACTACAGAAAAATAGAGATTTAGTGACTTTTTTTAGTAGTATTTTTAAATAAACACCACAAAGTTTCGTGTTTTTATAAGGTTAGTGGTGTTTTTTTTATAAAACACCACTAAATTCTTATATAACAGTATTTGGATTTAAAAACGCCACTAAAAATATATTTTTGTGGCATTTGTTGACCTAAATGCTATTATATATTTTGACTTTTATAAATATAGTGGTGTTTAACAGGCGTTTTTGCACTCCTTAAAAAACCCTTAAAACACTAGAAGGAGGAATTGAACCTAAGACCTTATGGTTAATGGATGTATGCTCTAACCAACTAAATTGTTTTAGTGTTTTTAGCAATGGATTATTCAAAGTATTTTTTGTCAAAAACATTTTGAATAATCTCCAATAAAAATTAGAAATGATTATTTAAGGCATTTTTTATTGAATAATCCCCAATAAAAAATGAAATGGATTATTCAAGACGTTTTTAGCCAAAAATGACTTGAATAACCCATTTAATTTTTTTAAGGGATTATTCAAGGCGTTTTCTAGCTAAAAATGCCTTGAATAATCCCTTTTTATTTTTTTTATTATTTAAGACATTTTTGGCCAAAAACACCTTGAATAATCTCTCCAAAAAATTTGAAAGGGACTATTAAAGGCATTTTTGACAAAAAAACGCCTTGAATAATCCCCTTTGATAGCCAAAAATATCTTGAATAATTCTCTAAAAAATGAAAGAGATTATTTAAGATATTTTTAGCTAGAAACATTTTGAATAACCCTATTTAATTTTTTGTAAGGGATTATTCCAGGCATTTTTTGGCTAGAAATGCCTTGAATAATCCCAAAAAAATGGAAGGAGATTATTCAAGGCATTTTTTTACTAGAAACACCTTGAATAATCTACAAAAAAAATTAGAGGGGATTATTGAAGGTATTTTTAACCAAAAATACCTTGAATAATCCAAAAAAAATTGGAATGGGATTATTCAAGGTATTTTTGGCTAGAAACGCCTTGAATAAATCCATTCAATTTTTTGTAAGGGATTATTCAAGGCATTTTTGAGCCAAAATCACCTTGAATAATCCCTCAAAAAATTAAAGGGGATTATTAAAGGTGTTTTTAGCTAAAAACGCCTTCAATAATTACACTTTCCGTTGCTAAATTTTACTTAAATTTCAAACTCACAAGACCCTTTTTTGTTTTTCTTTCCTCTACTCATTTCTTCCATTTCTACTCATTTTGGATTGCTTTCTTGTTATTTTCTACTTAAGTTTTAGTCATTTTATGGTAATTTTCATCTTCTTTCTTTTCGGTTTTGCAAAATTCAAGTTAGCTTTCTTGCATTTTGGGTTAAATCTCTAAACTTTTAGTTTGATTTGTTAGGTCAAATCCTTAAACTTCTTGTTTAATTTGTTGCATTTCTGCCACTATTCAAGCTCCATTGGTAAGCTCCATTTCAATATTGGCAATTTTCAGTATTTGACCGTTCTTTTTCTTTTTTACTAATTTATTTCATTATTGCAGTTTTGAGTTTGATTTTGTGTGGTTGGTGAGAAAAATTCAAGATAGAATAGAAAGTGAAAGAAATAGGGTTTTTCTCTAAAAAACTTAAAATTGAACATTGAATTTAGTTAAAAACACGAATGAAATTTTAAGTTTAATTTTTTTTTCAACAAAATATTTTTTAAATTACTAAAATATTATTACTTGTTAACATGAATTTGTTGATTCATTCAAGACATCCTTAGGAAACCATTCTGAAATAATCTATTATGTTTTTTTTCATCTCATCTTGGCATTTGTTTTGTTTGTTTTTCCAGATCATAGTGTTTGATGAAACAACTTAATCTTGCTTGAAAAGATTCATTGTACATGAAAACCATCAACAACAGAAGATGGTTGTGACCAAGGTGGGAAAAATCTTTCATCAAATAGTAGTGTTCTAAATCTATGCAATCATCAATTCCATAGGTTTTAAACTTTTGGTTAATGTACTAAAATAATTTGAATGTTATTGCATGTATTAAACTTTGTGTTCCATTCATATTAGAATAAATTATGTATTTATAATATTCAGTTTATGAATTTAAGTTATTTTTATTTCTTCTAATATTTTTTATTTAATGATAATAATCAATATTAAAAGAAAATTTTTTAAAAATAAATTTTTTAATTTAGTGGT